CAGGCAAAGTCTTTTGCGCAACTATACAATCTTCCAGTAGTAGGGTCTTCACTCTCACATAAACACTTTACGTTTTTCCGCAAAGGAATCTGAGAGATTTTTCTGAGACATAACACGCCATCAAAAATCAATTAAATAACAAAGAAGAGGAAAACATCACTTCTTCACTCAGCACATTTTCCTTGATTTTCATAAGCATTCAGATTTACAGCTACTGGTACTACCACAGGAGCAGGGCTTTTTCTGGTTTTACTTCCTCTTCCAGCAGAGCAAGCACAGCTGCAAAATGCAAACTCATTTCTAGGCTCTCTTGCATTATCACCAGTTTACCACATTCCAACCAGTCATAGTTGTGCAACACCCCATCACGGTACTGGGATTACTGCAGTGTCACAGACAGTTTAAGTGAGGCTCAAGGAGCTGTACAGCTTTAACTATGTTTTATATGGATAATTAAATGATGCATGACATGGAAATAAGCCAGCTGTACTGAAACTTAGCAAACTAACTGCTCTGATGCAACAGTCAAGCATCTCATCAGTTATAAAATGAAACAGGTTTAAAGCAAAAGCAATACAGAGAACAAAATGCCTGACATTGTAAAGTAGCATGTTCAAAGGACCATTTTTGAACATTAAGCAAGTGTACTCATCCAGTCAAATTTTCAAAAGAATTCCTGGCACCAAAATGTTCTCTGTTTGCTTTTTCACCATGTTTAAAGAATGGATCACTCTTAGGGGGAAGAAAATCCTGTGTGCAAAACACTGCATGAAACTAAACAATCCTTAAACGTGGCTAATTTTCCATGTGGAGCTGATGATTTAGCACTGTCATCCTTCAGCAGAGGAGAAAGAACTGCCTGTCTTTAGTTTACTTATGTAAGATGAAAAAAGTGAGGAGTGTGAATTTGATCTTGCTTCAATTTACTTCAGTGGCCAAACACTTGCCATGACTTCAGAGGGAGTGAGACTGCATCTTAATTCATTCCATGTGGAGAAAAACAAATCAGCTGAGAATAATGCTCTTGTTTATTAGATTTAAATCACTACCATAGTAGTTTTTAACAGTGCTAAGTAAATCCTGTTTTAAAAGCCAAAGGTTACCTTCAAGCATGCTTTTCCCTATGTATTGTGCCTCAATGCAGGATTCCTGGTCATCTGACCACGTCACCACCGTTCACAGCAAGTAAGGCTTGCTCTGGGGCATGGCCACATTCCCACACAGGAATGATACATGGTTGTGGATGCCACTGGTGCCAACATCCAAATCTGGGCTGGGGCATCCCCCTCAGCCAATAAACCAGGGTGCACACTTTTGTAAAATAAATGCATTCACTGATAGCAAAGACTACACTAACTAAGATGTCCATGAAAAGCAGCAAAGTAAATGAAATCAATAGGGTTAAATTTGCAATTAGGAATCTGCATTTCTGCAAGGAAATTTTAGGATAGCCACAAATTGAAAAATGTTTAATTTTTGTTTTCTTTTCCTTAGAAGGCAATCAACCTCCTGGTTTGGCTGTGCTCTACTCTTCCTTATAAAGTAGAACCTAGAGAAACACTCAGAAAATATGTATGCAAGTACCTTTCAATTAATTAAAAAAAGATTATTACTCAGAAGGTAGACAGAAACAAGACTGTCTACACTGTATGAATTAAACATATATGAATTAGGACACAGAGCCTTCCATTCTTTAGTAAGTGATGCTGTCCTAAAAGTGACATTAATGAATGAGACTGGTATATGAAAACCTTCTGCATCTGCTCTAGAGGTTGGAATGAGGATGTTAAATCAGGCAGCAGAAAACAAGCATGTGCTGCTTAGGGAAGCTGAACGTCACTTCTGTGTTTGAGGAGTTCTACAGTTTGGATGAAGGTCACAGGTTATCTCCAGCTGCATGAACATTAGTGATAAATACACAGTTTCTCTTAGACTGAAGGCAGTGCTAGACAAAGAGTATTAAAATAAGGAATATTACTCAAAAATCATCCCCTGGTTTTCTAAACATGGGACTCTACTATTAGAAGAGAGTTTCTTAGCTCCTCCACATGTTAAATCTATAACATAACAATAAAAGCACCTCAAACTTGTAGAAGTATCTAAGAAACATAGATTAAGTAAGGTCTACACAGTGAGAGCACTCTAAAAAACATCACAAGAGCAGAGACAATTTCTAGGATAGTAATGACATGAACCAATATCTAGAAGTTAAGTCTAAGTGAAGAAGAGAATTTTTCAACTAATGGATCAGGGAAAATGTGGGAATAAAGTATGAGATATGTCATTTAAAGATTATAGTATATTACATTAACACAGGTGGAGAATATATGACTTTGATTCTGTATTACAACATATTTCAATTGAATGGTGTGTAGTTTTAGTTTTATACATTCATGATTTTTTAGAACATATTTTTAGACTGGGGCACACAACAAAGAAAATCCATCACATGATATTGCATTGATCCCCGCATCACTCACTGGAATATCTTAACATTTCCAGCACAGATTCCCAGTTCTTAAGATGAAAACCCAGAGAAGATGAAAATCCGTAACTGCCATTAAGAGAAGGTCTAAAATTTTAATTGCTGTCTGAACACAAAGGAGCTGTGACATGCTGTGGTTTCTTGAAGCACTCCTGCAGTTATCCTGACGTATCTGTAACTACCCCACCCTCTCCCCTCTTCCCCATCCACCACTGACTGATGCAGCTGGGACATTCAGTAACTACAGAGGAAAATCTTGCTTACTTTCAGCTTTCCTGCCCCAGCAAATGCTCAGCTCTTCTGGAAGATGGACATATGCCATAAACACCCTGCACCTTGAAGGGAATTAAACCTTCTCTTCAGACATGCATGTGAGCAGGTTTTTGGAGCTGCCTGGTGTGGCCATTTTTCATCTGTTTTCCACAAAGGAAGGAAAGAATCCTGTATTCTCCTCCTAATGATATTTCAAGTCTTAATTCCAAAGAACAGAGGTTTCAGGACTTGTCAGTGACATGACTAACAATTTTATGAGAACTGGCAAGACAGTTCATTTCTCCTATATCTTACTCACAGAAACCGTGGAATTACTTTGTCTGAAACACTTGAGGGAAGGAAGGTAGACTTAATTCTGACAACTTTATTAAATATTCAGTACATCTGACATCCTGTTATCAACAACAAAAATATGGTTTAATTATGATAAGCCTTACTGGTATCATTTACAATACATCAGTGTGAAAAAACAGCAGTGAATATTTTCTTGCTCCATGTAGAAAAATACACATCTTCCACCCTCCCAGAAAAGTAAGACAAGGCACAATAAATTCTCATAATTCTCTTTCTTCTGGCTTTTCAGTTCCACCACACCTGTCCAAATTAAGATTTATGTGCTATTTTGCATCTGTATCTGTTGTTGATTTTCCCCCCCTACAGGGATATAGGTGGATAAGTTCAGACAGGAAACGGTATCCCTCAAGCCAAACTGAAAGGTTTATAAAGTTGCTAATAAAAGTTTGGGTCAGGGCCTAAATATCAATCATCTGCTCATTGTCTTTTTAAACGAGCTCAGGCATTTTCCCAACCGCTCCCAGCAGGTCTCTGCCACTATTTCAAACTAAGATTTCAGCCATTTCTTTTTTCCCTGTGTTGACCTCAATAATTTTTCTTTCTCCCCCTCTTTACCTGCCAAATGCATCCATCAAGATTTTGCCAAAGGCTATCTGCTTTTGAAGTTGAGAGGAATTCACTAATCGTGAGTGTCAAATCCACAATAAATGCCACTGCCATATGGTATATGCTGCTTTTGGGAATTATCTCAAAAGGCCTAGCTGTGAGAAGGCTGGCTGTATGTTAGGAGGGCTTTACTGCTAACTTTCATAACTCATGTCATGTCTTTCAGTTTCTGTATTCATTGGCTTCAGAGAGTGCAACTGTTTCCTGAATTTATAAAAATGCTGTCAAGATCCCTTGATCTCGCTTCCTCCGTCTCTCTCACACAAACACATCCAAACACATCTATACACAGTGGAATAGCATGCACAGTGGCATGCAAATCTAGCAAAAGAGAAGCTTGTAAATAAATAGCATGTCATTCTGCTTACTCAATAAAGTCCTCTGGGTGTTAAACTCATGATAAATGTATCATAAGCCCTGATGAAGGCTTTACAGCCTGCCCCATCACACCATCCTGAGTGCAATTCTGCGAGGCATAGGAAGACATAAGTTTGAAAAACAGAGTAGAAATAGCTCCCATAAGGGCAGGGTGCTGACATAGTTGAAACATAACTAACTGGAGAGCATTTGTTTTAGCTAAAGAAGACAGCATCACTGACACATCTCTGCGCCTATGGAGGTGTACTCTGCATTCAAAGGAACGAGAAATCCACCTTCTTTTAAAAATTGTCCATTAATACATAAATATGTCTGTGTTGAAACTCCCCAGATGGTACCATTCTCAACAAGAACTACACACAAGACTAAGAAATTCCACAGAGAAAACATGCTTTTGTGATCCAAAGAGGCAAGGACAAAGAAAACCACATATGCAGAGTTTAACATACCAACGTAGTGATAGAAAAAGAATTACAAAAATAAATGTCAGCCCCCTTGAAACACTTGAGGCAGCTCTCGACTTTCTCTAATACTCTAGGAAGGTGTGAATGTTCTCCATGTCTCACAGATCCCCCACCAGCCACATGGAAAGGTCTCCAATGCACCTCAGAGTGTTTCAAGTACCACTCCCCTCTAGTTTATATAGTCTGTTAATATCCTCTTGGACCAAACAGAAATAATAGTTTAAAAAGAAAATTATATTTCAGAAACATGTGCCTCTACATGACAAAACCCCCCCAGAATTTAATACCATCCCTAGGCAGAATTCATCCATCCTTAAGGCTTCTATTACGTATTTCTGGGACTGTGTTTTGCTTTCCTGGTAAGTAATACAAATGAACTGCTGGCAACATCACATCAAAACAAAAGCAGCAGAATCAGAAAAAAATGCTGAAAAGTTTACCTTTATAGGAAAGCTTCAGTCTTGGGATATTTTGTTTTGACGTTCCAGTGACTGGAAGGAACAGCATCACTAAAGACAGCAAGCTGCAGGCATGAGGCACTTGCAAAACTCTCATTCTGCTCTCCTCTTCTGTATCTTCTTTTTCACCACGGTGAAATATCTCTCCACTTTTCAAACAACCCAAGTTTTATCTGAAAGAAAAAAAGGAAAACATCTGTAGACCTGCATTACTGCATAAATAATAATTCTGTAAGCAAGCCAGATCTATCTTTAAAGAGCAGCTAATTTAATTTCTTTGCTACAAAAGTATTTCTTTCTCCAGTACAAGTAAAAATGTTTTGTTTCTTTAATACTAAATTTACACATTTTGACATTGGAAAAATATGTAAACTTTTCAAACACCAGTGTCTAGCACAGCTGAAGTTCAAGCACAAATTAAATCAACACAGTATCCACAAAAAGAACATTTGCCATTCAAAAGTGACCACACAACTTAGTTCATACCAGTCCACTGGATATATTAATGTTTTATAACTCTTTTTATCTCAGTACAACAGCTATTTTATGTTTATGCTCTGACTAGAATGAACTGTAATGTCTCAGATGCCATGGGGGTACAAACAGAGTTAACAATGAGTACATACCCATCAAAACTTTCATAAATAAACTAAGAAAACTGGATGGAACAAACAGTTGTGTTTAGTTTTAATAGAAAGAAACAGTCAATGCAGATGATGTATTTAAAAGTGCTTTCAGTATGATATTTCCAGCAGAATAACTGCAACTCATCCACCAAAATGTCCTATAAACTTTAATGAGTGTTTCAGGCTGGGGTCAATAGGCTGATATGAGATTTTGTTAGCACAGTGTGCAACTAAGCCAGCTTTGCAGCACTTTTCACTTAATAAGTGTCATTCATATTCCATAAAACTTGAAGTGTTTTACAAATGAAAGCAATTATCACTGTCCTTATTTTCCCTATGCAAAAACCGAACCATAAAGCTGCAGTGAACCTATTTCCTCAAGGTCAAACAGCACAGTAGTTGAAAAGAAAACAGCAACAGCAATCCTGGTGTCCTTTGTACCCAGCTATCAAGGATCCCTTTTGCCCAATAACTCCACTTTTGCAGATGAAATTATTTTAAATGGCATCTTGAGTTCTGAAGGCAAAACTTGATGGTTAATAAATCACAGACATCAGAGTATGAAAATACTTGTAAGACCAGATACTTCCTCCTGCAAGTGCATGATGCTAGAGGTCAAGGGGGACAGCTGGTGAAATGACAAATATCAGTGTTTGAGTAATGCTGTAAAACCAAGGAGTAAAGAAATGTTATGGTTAGTCGAGAGATTAATGGCTCATGACTTGCCATGAAAATTCTTTTCTGAAAGGTACTGGAACTGCCTGATTAAAAGAGCAATCCTAGTGCCCACATCAGCCAGCACTTGCACAGACATCAAAGGAGAGGTTCCTCACAAGCCCATGAGAGATGCAGCACAGCTTGGGGCCCCTGGTCTGGCATTCAAGCTCCTGCAGCCCTGGGTCAGGCATCTCTGAGCCACAGCAGCACCCAGAATCAATTCAACACCTCCTGATGCAGGCAGCTCATCCTTCCTGGCATGAAAGGATGGAAACAGTTCTCTCTGACAGAGGAAATCTGTTTCAGATGAAACTTGGGCTTTCTGAGCCTCCAGACCTTCTGTCAATAGTAAAAGACAAGGAAGTGTGCAAGACCACGATGGTGAAAAAGGGAAATAATTTGTAAAATGCCCAAAGCATAGCTCCTATTGCAGAACACTGAGCTTCTTTCTTCCCAGTCCCCTCTTCAACACTCCCATTGTGTCTGAAGGCACTGGTCTTGGCCAAGGGGAGTGCATGTTCATGAGATGACATGGAGAGAAAACAGACAAACATGAAATGCCTGTTTCATCTTTCCCTTCCCTTTATTACAGTATGAGATCCAAAGAGAAGGCCTTTACTTCTGTGCCAACACATCTATTTGAGGGTGGACCACGAAGGACTGATGTGGATTAGACTATGGTAGGGTTAAACTGCCTTTAAGAAATCTATTTAGGGGGAAGAAGGGGAAAAGAAGGGGAGGGGAGGAGGGGAAAGAATATATGAAGATGAGACACCAGCCCTGTTCATCTTCAGCAGGATGATAGTGACAAACCATACTTCAAAAAGAAGCAATTAAGTGGGAGCCAGTCTCACTACAAGTATGTTGAGAAGTCATGGCCTGAAGGTCTGGGCCTCAGCCAACAGGGAATTCACCAAAGGATTTGGGGCTCATTTACTTGAGGCAAATTATTGTGAAGAATCAAGACTAAATTTGACTAAAAAACCAGTTGTGTCAATGCACTGTCATTTGCTGAATTGATTGAGGATCAGCACCAAACTCGGGCCTTTGGCCCCAGCTCACAACCTCACTTTTTCATTTAGGCATTTTTTGCTAATGGGAACATTTGGGGTTTTTTGGTTGGTTTTTTTTTTCCCCTTTTCCCTTTTATTTGAATAATGTCTGTGAAAAACCATTTGCTTTCACAAGGCAGTTAGTTTACACTGGAGGCAGCTGGTCTGTGAGCTCGAGCCAACCCTGTCCTGTCTTTAGATTCATTGCAATCTGGCCAGATTGTCACATATATTTTTAGTTTATGATGATCCTCTAATACAATTCCAGCTTCCACACAGGGTCCTTCCAACAGTCTAGCTCAGGTTAATGAACTTGAGGCCAACTAACTTGCCATTAATCTTGACGAAATATCCTTCCTCTCTGTAACACATGCAATGTCAATCAGGGTCCTGTGCTGAAAAGACCCACAGTCACACAGAGCAGAAGCAAACAGTCCCATGAGCAGAAATAAAAAAAGCAAATTTGACTCCCCTATTCCTTCCTCCCCTCAAAAGTAAGACAAATTTGGTCAGAGAAGGAAAAAATTACTGGTTTGTTTAATTCTTTGATACTTCAGCTAAGGACCAACACCTTCTAAAACTTCCTCACCATGAACAGATCCAAAATAAATGAGGAAAAAGACTCCGAAAAGAAAAATACTGAGGCTAAAGCTGCTTCCTCACCTTGGCTTCAGCTAGGAAATGGCACTGCACTGTGTTAATTATCACCTGCAAGACCTAGCAGGGAAGGAAGCCATGCACACACCTCGCTGAAACGGGGGCACTTCCAGCGGAATAAAGGAGCTTTTATTTGCCCCACGTAGGGGCGGGAGGCACAAGGCTGAGAGGGGCTGAGCAGCCTGGCTCCATCCTGCTCAGACCTCCCAGCGGGGCCCATAAACTGGGATTGGGATGTGGGTTGAAGTGCCAGAAGACAGAAAGTGGAGCTGCAAGTGTGCTGCCATCCTGACAGAGAGAAGGGCCAGACCTGCCCGGCACATGTGCCATGTCACGTTCCAAAAACGTCCCAAAAACGAGGTGTCACCTCCCCGCAATCGGCCACATCTAGTGGAGCCCATTAAAACAGATTGCTCCGAAGCTACTGTCTCAAACAAGAAAACCTGGAGCCAATTTGCTAAACATAATTTATTCCAGGCCCTTTGTGGCAATAAACAGAGCTCTTCAGCCTTCTCAAACACACAGACAGTGAGGAGTTCTGTGCTTATGGGAGCTTTTTCAGATCGTTCAGCTCAAACCTATCTAAATGCAAAATCTTGCATTCACAAATACTGTGTAGTTTCCCACTTCTCCTGGCGTCACGAAGTCCAGAGCTGAAATGACTGTGACCCATCTGCAAACACACACTTTTTAAACTGTATTCATGAAAATCTCAATTAATGCTTTTAAAAAAGGCTTTATGGAATTGGAGGATAATTTAAAACCTGTTTCCAGCACTAGTTTTTCACGGCCATTTTAAAATTCAGAATTTTGTATTCCAATAAAGAGTTATGGCTCAGTGTTAGTGAATCTAATAGCAATGTTGCAGATTGTGACAACAGAAAATCTAGAACAACCTGGTCACTATCAGCTTATAAATTCATTATAAACCTAATGAGTAAGTTGCCTAGGTCATGTAGCTTCAATATGTAGTTTTCTATCACTGATGAAAGAGTTTTTCTTTCTTCTCCTCATCTATTCTTGTTTGACATCTTGAGGTTTTATTTATTTTGGTCTATGGAGTCAGAAGAGAGAAAAAGATGTCCCTTCAGATATCAACAAAATAGCATGAGTGGCCTTACAGAAAAACATATTGCTTTAAAAGATTTAAAACTAACCAGCTACAAGAATAAACAAAAATCACCCCACCTATGATTCATATTTATTGAAAGGTACATTATTGCTTTATCATCTCTTTTTTAAGAGATAAATATCTATTTATTTCAATAGATTATTTTCTACTATTATAAGTAGAAAATCTATATGCACAGAAATTTAAAGCACATTATTTTAACCACAAGTATACAGATATGCGTGTCCAATGCATTATGTAGATATTTCACCTTGAAATTATCATAGAAATTCCAAAAGATTCCAAAAAAAAAATTACTTCAGTTGTCTACTGTGTGGTTCAAAACTGTATTATAATCATAAACTGGACATTGAATTGTCTTTGTTAATAAGAGGGAAAACTGTAAGCATACATGGCTCAGATTAGTAACTTAGAAAATCAAGTAGACTAAAAATAAAATTACATCTTTACACTTACTTAACATTCTTAACTTAATTCTGCAATAACAAAGATGACATTTATCCAGAGCACAATGAAACTATGTTCTTGTACCCCTTAGATGGTCTGTTTGTTATTTGGCAGAAGACACTTTTCTCTTCATTGTGAAATCTCAGTTAAAGCTAACTCCATCCAAGAACTGGTAAACAGTATTATTCATCACTATTCTCCTACTTATTAAGTAGGTTTTGTGCTGTTTATAGTCCAGAAAATGTTCTCTTTCAGGATTCAGAAAAATACCGCTTTTTACACAAACCCCAGATCAGCATTACCTCACTTCCCAACACCAGGAGAAATTAATGAACAAAAAGACAATGGTACAATCAGAAAACATTATGTGAGCCTGCGGTAAGTGATTTTTTTTTTTCATTTTGTGTTGCATAAATCACTAGGCTTAGTCTACCTGGTTTAGATGAGGTTTTGCCATAGAGCAGTCTTCGCTATTGTTAATTACCCAAACAATTAGTAGACTCCTAAGAAGCATAACCCAGCTTACAATGAGTTTTGTAAAA